ATGCAGCCCCAGAAACCACCAATTTTACTTTCTTTCCCTATGAATTTGACTACTCTAGATACGTCATATAAATGAAATCATACAGTGTCCCTCACCTTGTGATTAGATGATTGACTTAACATATATCCTCAAGGTTCACCCATGTTGTAAGGTGTCACAGGATATCCTTCTTTTTTTTTTTTTTTTTTTTTTTTTTTTGAGACGGAGTTTCGCTCTTGTTACCCAGGCTGGAGTGCAATGGCGTGATCTCGGCTCACCGCAACCTCCGCTTCCTGGGTTCAGGCAATTCTCCTGCCTCAGCCTCCTGAGTAGCTGGGATTACAGGCACGTGCCACCACGCCCAGCTAATTTTTTTGTATTTTTAGTAGAGACGGGGTTTCACCATGTTGACCAGGATGGTCTCGATCTCTTGACCTCGTGATCCACCCGCCTCGGCCTCCCACAGTGCTGGGATTACAGGCATGAGCCACCGCGCCCGGCCGGATATCCTTTTTTTTAAAGGGTAATTAATACTCCATTGTCTGTATATTCACCGCATGTTCTTTTTTAAAAAAATATATATATTTTATTGTACTTTAGGTTCTGGTGTACATGTGCAAAACATGCAGGATTGTTGCATAGGTACCTACATGGCAGTGTGGTTTGCTGCCTCCATCCCCCTGTCACCTATATCTGGCATTTCTCCCCATGTTATCCCTTCCCAACCTCCCTACACTCCCGCTGTCCATCCCCTGTTCCCCACAACAGACCTCAGGGTGTGATGCTCCCCTCCTTGTGTTCATGTGTTCTCATTGTTCAACACCCACCTATGTGTGAAAACATGCTGGTGTTTGATTTTCTGTTCTTGTGTCAGTTTGCTGAGGATGATGGTTTCCAGATTCATTCATGTCCTACAAAGGACGTGAACTCATCGATTTTTATGGCTGCATAGTATTCCATGGTGTATATGTGCCACATTTTCCTTGTCCCGTCTATCATTGATGGGCACTTGGCTTGGTTCCAGGTCTTTGCTATTATAAACAGTGCCACAATGAACATACATGTGCATGTGTCTTTATAATCCTTTGGATTATAAATCATTGTATTATAAACCAGTAATGGGATTGCTGGGTCAAATGGAATTTCTATTTCTAGGTCCTTGAGGAATCGCCACATTGTTTTCCACAATGGTTGAACTAATTCACACTCCCACTAACAGTGTAAAAGTGTTCCTATTTCTCGGCATCCTCTCCAGCACCTGTTGTCTCCAGATTTTTTAATGATCGCCATTCTAACTGGTGTGAGATGGTATCTTAATGCGGTTTTGGTTTGCATTTCTCTAATGACCAGTGATGATGAGCGTTTTTTTCGTATGTTTATTGGCCTCATAAATGTCTTCTTTTGAAGTGCCTGTTCATGTCCTTCACCCACTTTTGAATGGGTTTGTTCTTGTAAATCTGTTTTAGTTCTTTGTAGATTCTGGATATTAGCGCTTTGTCAGGTGGGTAGATTGCAAAACTTTTTTCCCTATTCTGTTGGTTGTTGGTTCACTCTAATGATTGTTTCTTTTGCTGTACAGAAGCTCTGGAGTTTAATTAGATCCCATTTGTCTATTTTGACTTTTGTTGCCAATGCTTTTGGTGTTTTAGTCATGAAGTCCTTCCTTGCCTATGCCTAAGTCCCGAAAGGTTTTGCCTAGGTTTTCTTCTACTGTTTTTATGGTGTTAGGCCTTATGTTTAAGTCTTTAATCCATCTGGATTTAATTTTAGTGTAAGGTGTCAGAAAGGGGTCCAGTTTCTGCTTTCTGCACATGACTATCCAGTTTTCCAACACCATTTGTTAAACAGCGAATGCTTTCCCCATTGCTTGTTTTTGTCAGGATTGTCAAAGATCAGATGGTTGTAGATGTGTGGCATTGCATCTGAAGTCTCTGTTCTGTTCCATTGTTCTGTATCTCTGTTTTGGTACCAGTACCATCCTGTTCTGATTACTGTAGCCTTGTAGCATAGTTTGAAGTCAGGTAGCGTGATGCCACCAACTTTGTTGTTTTTGCTTAGAATTGTCTTGGCTATTTGGGCTCTTTTTTGGTTCCATATGAAGTTTAAGGTGGTTTTTTCCAGTTCTGTGAAGAGGATCATAGGTAGCTTGATGGGGGTAGTGTTGAATCTATAAATTACTTTGGGCAGTATGGCCATTTTTTATTCTCCTGACCATGAGCATGGAAAGTTTTTCCATCTTTTTGTGTCCTCTCTTATTTCCTTGAGCAGTGGTTTGTAGTTCTCCTTGAAGAGGTCCTTTACATCCTTTGTTGGTTGTATTCCTAGGTATTTTATTCTCTTTGTAGCAATTGTGAATGACAGTTCATTCTTGATTTGGTGTCTTTAAGTCTGTTATCAGTGTATAGGAATGCTCGTGATTGCTGCACATTAATTTTGTATCCTGAGACTTTGCTGAAGTTGCTTATCAGTGAGCCACTGCACTCCAGCCTGGGTGACAGAGCGAGACTCTTTCTCAAAAAAAAAGAGAGAAAGATAGGGGGTGGGGGAAGAGAAGTTTAAATAGAATAGGTTGCATTTTGTGTGCCTTTGGACAAGAATGTGTGGGTTTGAAGTATACTATTGGATCAAGGACTATAGTCAGGAGAGGGGAGTGGGCTGGGTGTAAATTTGGAAGTCGTCAGCCTATTGATGGCATGAAGTCTACAGAGCAGATGAGATCATAAAACAAAAGTAAAAAAGGAGAGCTTAGAGCCGCTCTGATATTTAGGGTCAGGGAGGCGTGGTGCATCTGGCGAAAGAGCTGCCAAGAAGGTGAATGGACCCAGAAAGAACAATGTCCAGTGGTCAAGTCAAGAAGCACTTCTGTGTAGGGAGGGTGAGCAGTTAGGTCCTCTGCTGCTGCAAAGTCCAGGAAGGAGAAGACTGCAAGGTGGACATCTGGACTCAGCCAAGCTGAGGTCACGGTGACCTTGATAATAGCAGTGCTGAGATGTGGTATGTGTGTGCGACAGTTCCATAGAGCATCTGCTGTGCAGGGGAGCAGCAGGGAAAGGCAGAGATGAAGGAGGAGCCTCCCAGGCAGCCTCTGTCGCTCTCTGCTGTGTGAGTCTGTATTAGTTTCCTGTGGCTGCTGTGGCAAATGACCACACATTTCCTGCTTCAAACAACATACATAGATTAACTTAAAATTTTGACAGTCAGAAGCCCAAAATGGGTGTCACTGGGCTAAAATCGAGGCATTGGCCATCAGGGTCAGTTCTTTCTGGAAGATCCAGGGGGTGATGTACTTTCTCACCTTTTCCAGCTTCTTTAGGTGCCTGCATTCCTTGGCTCAAGTCCCTCCCTCTGTCTGCAAAGCACGCAGCCTGGCATCTTCCAGTCTTTCTATTATACCCTCTTCCTTTGACTTGTAAGGATCCCTGTGATTCCACTGGACCCACCCAAGTAATCCAGGAAAATCTCCCCATCTCAATGTCTTTAACCTGAGTCCACCTGTAAAGTCCCTTTATACATGTCAGGTAACAGATCCACAGGTTCCATGGGGTTGGGGCATGGACATTTTGGAGGGGCCATTATTCTTCCTATGACAGGGATATAATTTCTTTGACTGACTTGTCTTCCCCACACCACCAAACTGAGAGCTTCCCAAGGGCAGGTGCCACGTCTGAATCAAGGCCCCGTAGTTCTCTCTCACTTGCCCTCTTTCTGCTCATCTTATCATAATTCACACATAGATATGACAGTCGTTTATTGCTACCTCCTTCAATTAAACAGTGAGCTGCAGGAGGCCAGGGCCCACGTCTTCCATGTCCACCACGGTCCATCTAAAACCGCCTCAGGGCCTCACACACAGGGGGCCTCCGCAGGAGGCCAGGCTTTGGGCTCAGAAGGAACCAACTGCATTGGGTCCTGGTGTAAGAGGGAGTTTGTGCAGAGTACTTACCATTTCTACCTCAGTTTTCAAATTTGTAAAATAGAGACAGTATAATATCTTACTATGGGCCGGGCGCGGAGGCTTATGACTGTAATCGCAGCATAAGAGAGGCTGAGGTAGGCAGATCACGAGGTCAGGAGATCGGGACCATCCTGGCTAACATGGTGAAACTCAGTCTCTACTAAAAACACAAAAAATTAGCCAGGTATGGTGGCGCGTGCCTGTAGTCTCTCCTACTCAGGAGGCTGAGGCAGGAGAATCGCTTGACCCCGGGAGACGGTGAGCTGGGTTGGCACCACTGCACTCCAGCCTGGGCAAGAGAGCGAGACTCCATCTCAAAAAAAACAAATACTATGGAGTTGTTGTCGGAAGTTAATCAGATTAGTAAACACCAAATAAGGTGATAATTGAGTACTAAGTATTAGATGAAGGTATGAAAGAGATTTCAGCAAACTGCTCATGGGTTGAATGGAGGAACTCCTGGGTCTCTTTCCTGGACTCTCTCTGGCACCTGCTGGCCCCACTGCTCTACTCTGACTCCCTTCTCTCTCTCTATTCAGGGACCCGTAATTGAATCCCAGGCAGATGACAGCCCCCCACACCAGGCTTCCTCAGCCGTGGCCGCCCCCTCCTCAGAGGCAGGAGACATCCCCTATGCATCCCTCAGTTTCCATAATGTGAGGCCCTCAGTATCCACAGAGACAGGAGGCTGCTGGCAATGAGTACTTGGAGATAAAGACCCTTTAAAGTGAGAAACTACAGAAACTCGGGCCAGTTTGAGGATTTACAACCCCTCCAGCAAAGGAGTCCTGGGCTGATTCCTGTGGAATTAACAGCCCTCCATGCTATGCGACAGGACATCAGAGCTTCTTCCTCCTGTCGGATTGAAAATGCTTGCCTGATGGCCAACCTCTCCCTTTACCCATCCAATCAATCACTCGCCCCGGCCTCTGGTGCCCACCATTCTCTTTACTTCTCTGAGGTCGACTATTTTAGGTTCCAGATATAGTGAGATCATAGGATATTTGTGTCTCTCTGTTCCTGGCTTATTTCACTCAACATAACAACCTCTAGGTTCATCCACGTTGTTCCAAATAACAGAATGATGTATTTGGATTAGCTGAATATTTCAAAATAGCTAAATGAGAGGAGTTTAAATGTTGTCACCAAAGAAAAGTGAATATTTGAGCTGACAGATGTGCTCATCATGCCGACTTAATGGTTCCACGGTGCCTCCGGATGCAGAAACCTCACTGGAGCTGTTCAGGTTACTCAGCTACTCAGAGCAGAGCTGGAATTTAATCTCTGCCTGATTCTGAGGTCTCTTCTCTCACCCAGCACTCAGTGAAGCAACCAATGAGTGGGGACCCCTTGGCCTTAAGTTTGCAGCGTTGCTGTTGATTCCATGGGTGAATATCTGAAAACCTGGAAGCACAGGAGCTGAGGGAGGAAGTGCCGTGGAATTAGAGCCCAGCTTTGCGCATGGCCCGCCCCGGCCTGCACCCCACTGGCCAGCTCTGATTGGCAGATGGAGCGCCCAATGGTCACACTGCTCATGACGTCATCCCCCCCGTCCCAGGCTGGGTCTGCAGACCTCCCATCAGAACCTCCATCTCCAGACCTTGATGTGACTTGGCTGAGTCCCTCTCTTGTCAGTCACCTCCAAAGAGACCCTGGGCCCTTTCCAGCCTTGCTGACCCTATGGGGGTCAGCATAGGGTCTTTCCAGACTTGCTGACCCCAGCCCTTCTCCATCACCCTCTCCTCACCTGTTTGCCCGCTGGTCTTGTCCTCAGGCCTGAGAGGGACACTCAAGTGGCCCGATTTGTCCTATGGGGAGAAATCAGGGAAGAAGTCACATCTCAGATCTTTAAGAAACACGGGAGAATCCTGGGTAGAGAGAGGTGAAGGGGCCCAGCTACCCAGCAAGCCCAAGCCCAAACCCAGTCCCTCCCCACGTGAGACCCTGTGGAGGAGATGGTCTGGGGGCTTCACCTCTGCACTGAGAGTTCTCAACATCCCATACTCCTAAAGATTTCCAAGGGCACTGGAGGAAGGTGCCATTGTTTGGGGAAAAGAGGCTGGGTGAAGCTGAGGAAGGAGAGGGCACTGCTGGTCTAATTACCAGGGGTAACAATAACGATGAAGGTAGTAATTTATTTCACACTGATTCTATGCCAGGCACTTGTAGCTTATGACAGGGTTACCTTTAGCCCTCCCAACAGCCAAACAAGACAGATACATTGACCCCATTTGTAGATGAAGACACGAGGGTCCAGAAAGGTAAAGTTACTTACCCCAGGTCACACAGCCAGAACAGAACAGAGGCCAATATTCCCAACCTGGCTTCTCTGACTCCCAGACCCCTGCTCTCATACCAGATTGGAGGTCTCAGACCATAGAGACCATGGCACCCTTGAGAGGAATGGTACAGTGACATGGTGTAGGTTTTTTGGCTGTGAGGAGGTTGTTCTGTCAGACCAGGGGGATCCTTCCAGGTGGTGGAAGATGAGGTGATTCAGATCCACTCTTTGAAACCCTCTTGAACTTTCTCGAGTTAATCACAATCCGTTTGGAATTGCACGTTGAATAATATGATGGCATTAATAATAATATCTGAGATTTTATGAAGTGGTTACTATGTACCAACCCTTGTTCCAAGGCATTTACCAGAAGAGCTTACTTTATCCCCATAGGAGATATCCCTGTGAGGTTGAAACCAGTATTGATCCCATTTTACACACGGGAAGTAAAGCACACACAGGCTTGAATGCCTGCTATGTCACTGGATGGTCAACATTATAGGCTCTTTGGTGAAGGGACCACGTCATAATCATAAATAGGCTCAATGTCTAAATACTAAGATCATTTCACATGTATCTTCTAAAGTCTTTAGATAACATGTTAGTGAAGACCCATACATGGAGGCTGTGTGTCTCTTCTGCTCCACCTTGCCCTACCGTTTATTCTAGGAAATGCCACTTCTGTGTCTTTTGGGTGGTATCCAGATCCAGTCACGGTTAAAATCTGAGTAACTGCAAGGTGATCTTTGAGGGAGGGAGAAGGGGAGCGGGTGTGACTGCTGAAGGGAGGGTCTAGATCGTGGTAGCTGGGAGAGCAGCTTGTTCATCTTTTGCTCATGAGAGGCCCAAGAATAAAGCCAGGAGCTTGGTGAAATATGGGGCGACTGAGAAACCAAATGAAGAACAAGTGAATGAGTCACTGAGGTTGACTTAATGGAGACATCCAAAGTGAAACCTTGGAGGTCTCCATCAATGGCTTTGAACACCAGGATAGAAACCCCTGGAAACTTTTCGTCTGAAGAAATTCAAGTGGAAGCAGGATCATTATGTACAGAGGCACTAAAGCCCACTCTACTTTTAGGACTCACAAAAATGTTTCAGTTTCTTCTAAAATCAGAAGAAAAAGCTAGATAAAACCCACCCTATAACTTATACATGTTTATATCAACAGAGAGGTAAAATAGAGTTTTTAGTATTTTTATAGGGGAGGGGCCCACAAAAGCAAATGGAGTCTATTTACGGGAACAAGGAGGGAGCCTGGAGGCCTGTCCACACGAGTTCCCTTCCCCACTCCAAACTCTGGCACCTTCGTAACCCTTCTGAAGAATGTGGTTCCAGGTCTAGGAGGGACCTGCCCCCAGGGAGGATTTGCTCTAAGGCAGGTGGCCACTCCTGCTCAGCTGAATTCTCTGAGACCTTGTGTCTTGAGACCTCCCTTGAAGACTGGCCAACAGCCCTGCATTTCCAAGACCTTGCTGACCTCCCAGGCTCCTGTTTCTGCCATTGACCTGAACCTCCCCCAGGTCATGGCCACTCTCTCAGTCTGCTTTTGCAATCCCCTTTTCTCTGCTGTTCCCTGAATATGAGAATTCTGTTTCCGCTCTGAACTCTGTTCTCTTCCCATGCAATGGAGTTCCTGGGGTTGCCTCCCATGTGATCTTTGTAGTGTCTAGAGACATTTTTGGTTTCCTGAACTGGGGTGTTGGTGGTAGTTACTACTACCGTCTAACCGGTAATGGCCGGGATGCTGCTAAATGTCCTACAAGGCACAGAACCGCCTTACTGCCTCCCCTTCCTCGTCAAAGAATGATGGTCCCAATATTAATAGTACTGAAGTTGAGAGACTCTGGTCTACTTTATGCTGAGAACACTGCAAGTCCCTTTATCCTCCAAGACGTGTCTCTAACCCCCACATCACCCTTCAGGCAGGAGTTGCTCCTTGCATTCTTCAGGTGGGCTGAGGATGAGCTATGAGAAGTGACCTACCCAAGGTAGCCTAGCCTACAGGTAGCAGAGCTAGGGTTTGAACCCAGACCCTAACCATCCCACCACTCAATCTCTTCTCCCCGCATAGTCGACTGCTGATACCTATTTCCCCAACTTCACTTTGTAGCAAGGGACAACTATGTCCCAGGAATTGACATGCACACTTCTCATTTTTTTACCCGTCCCTCTAGGTAAACCTTAATGTCCATTTGTAAACACAAAGAAACTTCTAAAGAGAAGGGAAGTTGCTGGATGAAACCCCACAGCTATTTAGAAGCATGGCTGGCTGTATACCTTCCCTTGCTCCCATCAGCTTCAGGTCCTGGAAGCTGAGCCATCTGCCCCAGATGATCCCTGACAACCCAGTTCCTGGCTTATCCCTTCCCCTCTGGCTCTGCCTCCCGCTCTGGAGGGAGGTCTGGCCCCTGAGGCCCAGCAACCAACCAACACCCCACCCTTGACCCAGAGCAATGAGGGCACCTGTTTGAGTAGCAGTTGATCAGAACGTGGATCAGGACTCCACAGAGGTAGACGCCAGCCGCCGCTGTCCACCCGATGAGGAGCACCACTGTGGGTTCCGAGATGGAGAACTCTTTGTGGACAACAGGTAAGATCTCTGGAAGAAGAGGACACTGGGAGTCAGGACCACGACTCACCCATTCATGTGTTCACTCATCTCTTCACTCAACCACATACCTGTTCTCCAAAGATTTGTCAGCATCTATTAACAGCAAAGCACTCTTCCCAGTACTAGGGATTCAGCAGTCAACAAAACAAACTCCCTGCACCCATGGGGCTGACATTTGAGCTGGGAAGTGGACAGAGGACAATGAAGCAAAGAGATGTCTCAACTGCAGGCAGCCATAAGTGAATAAAGAAGAATAAACCCTCGTAAGGAGAGAGACAGTGACTGGAAGGGGGTGACACAGTGTCATTAACTCATTGCACAAATGTTCACTGAGCACCACCTATATGCTAGGCACTGTGCCAAGCACTGAGGACAAATGGCAAACAAAAATCTCACCCAGCGTCTGCCCTCCTGGAGCTCAGAGTCCAGGGGAAGAGAAGAACGTGAACATATGACTTGGAGGGCTGCATGCACACATCGTTTCTGGTGCATAGTAGGTGCTGACAAAGTGGTGCGATGTGGCGGAAGTCTGCAGACCACATCCTGTAACGTTTCCTGGACTTTCTTGCACAGTTTTATTTTACTCTCATGGCACCCTTTTCATGCAGGGATTCTTATCCTTTCATTGCAGTTGAGGAAACTGAGTGTCAAAATGATGGAGCTGCTTGTCCCGGGTTCCTGGCAGCAGCAGAGTGGGGATCTGGACCCAGAACCTTGTGCTGCAGAGCCCAGCATTCACCTGCGCCACTCCTCTGCTCTCTCCTCGAGCACGTCAGTCTCTCTCCCTGATACAGAGGATTTGCTGAGAAGATGCTTTCCCCATTTACAAACTCACTCCCAAGCCAGGTTTCTGACGCCATGGCCATGCTAAATCTCTGCCCCCCTCCACCCGTCCCATCCCTGCATCTTTTTAGTTCCTCATCTTGGAGCAGCTGAGGGGAGCAGTTGAGGGTACAGGCTGTGGGTTCAGCCCGCCTGAACTTGAATGCCACTCTTCCATGGGTTATGGAGCGATGAAGCCTTGAATAAAACACTCAGACTCCATGGGGCTCAGTTTTCCCCCCTGTAAAATGGAGGTGATGCTAATCACATGCACTTAGTCCATGGAGAGATGGTGAAGGTCATGCAGGTTAGAACGAAGGCAGCACACAGTAAGTGCTCAGCCAATGTCTGCCACTCTTATCCCCCTGGGAGCCACCCTGGCTCTGATCTGAGGACTCCAGAGGATTCACACAGGAGGCAGCTTTGAACCCAGACCTCAGAGGACGGGGAGATTTCACCCAGAAGTTGTGATCATGGCATGGTAGGGTGGAGGTGACACTCCTGAGGGTGGGCACTGCCTAGCAGGGCATGGAGGCAGGGAGATGTGCAGAGCATGAGCCAGGAGGGGGAGCTGCTGCACTCACCGGGGGCCTGGATCCTAAAGTCCCCATAGAAGGTCAACTGTGTCACAGGGTTCTCCACGATGCATCGGTAACTGCCCATCTGCTCCCAGGCCAGACTTGAGAGATTCACTGTTGCATCTGAGACATTCAGGAGGGAACCGTTGTGGATCCAGCGGTGCTTGAGAGCCGGCAAAGAATGGGCGACACATTCCATTTCCACCTGGGAGCCGATCTCAGCTTTCATGATGCCATTAAAGGCATATGGATTGCTCCTCAGCAGCACATCGTCGGGCCCATCTGTAGAGACAGGGCAGGAGGCCCAGGGCTGTGGTTCTGACCCTTCGGGGGTCCCATCTCATGCAGAACTTCCCCAGCCAGGAGGTTCCACACAGCACATCTCAAGCTGACCCCTAGACCCACGCCAGGCAAGGCAGTTGTGTCAACAATAATAACCAGAGGAGCGTCTTCCATAATGAAGGGACTACTGGGAGCCACCCCATGGTTCCCTTCACATTGTAAGAAAACTGTAATCCCAGCACTTTGGGAGGCCGAGGCGGGTGGATCACCTGAGGTCAGGAGTTCAAGACCAGCCTGACCAACTTGGAGAAACCCCATCTCTACTAAAAATACAAAATTAGCTGGCAGTAGTGGCACATGCCTGTAATCCCAGCTACTCGGGAGGCTGAGGCAGGGGAATCACTTGAACCAGGGAGGCAGAGGTTGCAGTGAGTCGAGATCACGACATTGCACTCCAGCCTGGGCAACAAGAGTGAAACTCTGTCTCAAAACAACAACAACAACAACAACAAAAAACTGGTGGAGAAAAAGCAATCACAAGGGCCTACTGTGTGCCAGGCACTGTTCTAAGCCCTGTGCCTGTCCCCACATTTGTTGAATTCCCAGAACAACCCATGTGACTAGTTAACACTATTGACCCATTTTATTGGTGGGAAAAAATGAGGCTCAGCTGAAGAGGCATAGGACTTTATGACTCCAACTAATAGAGAAAGATCGAGCCAGTCTCAGGGCCCAGGAGCCACCACCCTGAGCAGCTGCAGCCTCTGGACCCTGGGTCTTGGTTCCAAGACTGACCTGTAAACAGCTGTGTGGAGGTCAGCAATTGTTCACCCCTCAACCCAAGCTTCCACGGGATGGGGGCCATAGCCTGTGCTTTAGGAAATCTGACAGACCACTAGAGGGTTCCGGATGTAAAAGTGATTTTAAATGTTTGATTATGTTTTTCAGTTGAAAGATTAGAAGAGTTTATTAAACTCTGTGAGCAGTCCTGGAACACTGGAAAGAATCTAAGTGTGGATGCATTTATAAGTCCAGTGTATTAGATTTACAAGAGCTGTCTGAGAACTTGTGGGGGTCTTGCTGGGTTGTGAACTTGCCCGGGTAGGCAGCTGAAGGACTATAAAGAAAAAAGAATGTATGGAATGCATAAATTTAAATAAAACTTTTAAGGGAGCGTAGTCTGTTCAATTTCAGTGAAAGAGAGTGATGGTGAGTATACTAAATTTAGGAGAAAAGAAAGAAATTAATGAGCAGAATTTGAAGGCTCGAGGGCTTGAAAACTTAATAAATTGAACATCAATTTAAGAAGCAATCATTGTAGTAGTCCCCTCTTTACACAAAAGCAGACCTCCACAAAGGCACACTGACAGTTTCTAATCTTAGAAATGGAGATTGGAGTCCCCATTTCAAACTCAAGTGTACCATGGTACTGAGTAGCGAGGACAGCTCCTGAGTCCACAGGGCTCAAGAGCTTGAGCTGATTGCAACCCAGATCAAGCGGACTGCAGGCTGGCACAGGATGTCCCCTCTCTCCAGCTCGACGTGTGCTAACCCATTCGTATCCCCAGAAGACCTTGAGCCCACTCCTGGCTTCAGTCCTGGAAGCCCAGACCACTCACAAGACACAGTCAGAGAGATGACTTCGCTCTTCTGGAAGATGTCTGGGAAACTCTCTATCGCACACTGAAGAGTTCTCTCAGTACGCCTAATCCTGAGGATGACGAGGGTCTTGCCATCTGGGGAAATTCTCATCCGGTCACTGCTAGATATGGGTCCATAATTCACATACCACGTGATGTTGGTGGCATTGGTGTGGCAATTGGCAGCCACGGAATCCAAGTTCTCTACCAGGGAGGTGGCGTTGACTGAGAGGCTCGGATCACTTTCCAACTCTGGGAGAAGCAGGAAGGAGAAGACAGTCAGAAGTGGGATCTGCTTCCCCAAGCTCTACTCCTCTCCAGGGGACTTCTGGGCATGATGGAGAGACGCTAAGAGCTGTTAGATAAGATCTGGCATCCTGGCAAGGGAGCTGAGAAGGGCAGAGAAGTAGGCACAGGGCAATGAGGCTGCCGAGGTGTGGGCCTTTGCTGTGGTGTCTGCTGCCGTCATGGTGAGCTCTTGGCGTGAACATGTGGACTAATCATTGTTTCTGAACCCCCAAGCCAGGACCCTCGTCCAGGAGCCGTGAGAGGCTCTGAGTGAGAGGTGGCATTTGGCTACACAATACTGCTCCATTATTGGAGTCCCATTCACTTCACGGATACTCCAGCGCTGCAACAGACCACAGTGGTAGATTCCTCCCCACTCTACAGTTGAGGAAACTGAGGAACACAGAGGGAACACAAATGAGGTTTGTAATTGCAGCCACTGTCAAATATAGGACTGCTTGTCTCCCACCTCTATCCTCCCCTCCCCGTCAAAGCCCCCAGGAGCTGTCCATGGTACACAGGATTCCAGGGCTGCTCCCTGATTTCCACTCCTGGTGTCATGCCCTGTGTCCTCTCCTTTTCTCAAGTGTGAGGGGGACCCAGGAGCTGCTTCTAACCTGTGGAATATGACAAAGGCCAATGAATGTCACTCCCATCATTACCTGATGGCATGTAAGCCTCTGTCCTAGCAGACACTCCAGCTGGCCTTGAAGACACAAAACAGCCATGGTGTGAAAAGCCAGTGGGCACAGCCACGTGGCGGGGATTTCAACAGCTTCTAGGACTGTCCAAGGGTCCTAGAGACCAAGGGTCTCTGTCCAACAACCAGTAAGCAGCCTGCTGGGCCCTCAGTCCCACAGCCACAAGGAAATAAATTGAGCCAGCATCCTGAGTGAACCCGGAGGCATTCTTCCCTAGTTAAGCCTCCAGGTGAGACCACAGCCCTGGCCAAAGCCTTGTGAGACTCAGAGTAGAAGCCTCAGCTCAGCTACACCCGGTCTTTTGATTCAGCCATGTACCTGGGCTGTGGGCCCCCTGGAAATGATGCAATAATGAAAGGGTACTGTTTTAAGCTGTTAAGTGTGTGGCTCTTTGTTATGGAGCAGTAGAAAGCTGATAAATACACTGATAATCAATTCCAATACTTTGAAGGTAGTGAACGTCCCCCGCCTGCCGAGGCTCCTGTTGTCATGCAGAGGTGGGTGAGGGAGGGGAACAGGGTGATCTCTGAGCATTCACACTCCCAGGGCTGCCATGTCTAGCTCTCCTTGGGAGTCAGGAAGTGGGGCACCTGCTCACCCACCTACAACCTCCAGCCAGCCGGTTGCTCTTTGGGTCTCATTGCTGGCAACCACGCGAACGGTGTAGTTTCCTGTGTCATTTAATGCAGTCGGCCTGATCACCAGGTCGCCTTCCGTGTTCACCCTCTCCCTGCCGGTGTACATGGGCCCAGGCTGCCGGGTACTGGGCAGTTTGTAGTTCATAATCATGTTTCCCATGCTGTCGTTCGCACCCCGGTACCAGCTGTATTCCTGGACATCCTCGGGGACGTTGTCCACGGCAAGGATAGTCAAATATCCCTTTATCCCCAGTATTTGGGTGATGAAGATTTGGCCAGAGGCCTGGCAGATCCCGCAGGCCAGCAGACTGGCTGAGGAAGACAAGGAGAAAAGACACAGAGAGATCAACACCGTCCAGGGAACGATTCCCAGAAACACTAGAGAACCAGGCAAGAATTTCTGGTTCCTGGTAGAGTCCCCAGCCTGTCCCCTCCTGTGCCTCCCCTCAGCCCCTGCCCTGGTCCGTTTTATCCTTATCTTCTCCCAAGCCCTCCTCTCTGGCCATGTAGTCTCCAATCCATTCTCAAGTGACAGTTATTTAAATCTTAATGAGCCCAAGTTGTGCCTCTGCTCTCCTCTGCTCAAGCACCTTCTGTGGCTCCCCGGTGCTCTTAGGATAAAGTCCAAACTCTTAGGTGGGCATATGAGACACTCTCAGCCAGAGTTGGTATTTGTGACTCATCTAGCCTCCTTGTGGAGCTCACCTACCCCATCCTGTTTAGTTATTCACTCATGTATCTATGTAGTTATGTGTCAGAAGATATGACTGCCATGCTGTATGCCCCGGGCCTAAACGTAGCTCTCTTGGTGCACCACACCTCCTCCTAACTCCAGGCTTCGCACAAGCTGTTCCCCATTCCTGGCACACTGACTCCTCCCCCCCTCTTCATCTGCTGACTCACATCTACTAATCACTCAGGTCTCAGCTTGGATGTCTCCTCCACCTCAGCCTGGGTCAGGTGTCCCCTCTGAGCTCCCCCAGCTCCTCCTGGGCTCCCCCAATCCCAGCCTTGACTTCTGGGGGTCCTCAGAGTCCGGTCACATATCTATATCTTGCCCTGGACTATGGGCTCCAGGAGGGCAGGGCTGCCCTGTCTCAGTCACCACTGAGTCCCCAGCACTCCTAAGCACAGGCTGAACACCAGGGGAGCTCAGTGATGACTGGGTGAGAAACACTCCCCTGAGATTGTCCACGTGTCTTTGACTTTGCATCTAAATTCACTGGAGTGGGTGTGAATGGAGGTGGGAGCCTGTTACCACATATGACACGGAAGGTGTCCACTGCCCTCTGAATCCCAAGTCTGAGCCGTGTGGAGGAGGCAGAGATGCCTGAGCCTCCGGTGCCAGGCCTCATGTGCAGACACTGGACCTGTTCAAGGACAGTACATGTGGTAAAGCAGGACAGTCATGTTCTTTGGAGGCACAGAGCGTCCGGGGCAAAGGTGAGGGGCTGGGAAGGGATCTGGCCTGAGAGGTGGGGAAGGGGATGGGGCAGATTGGGGCACCCGGTGGGACATGAGTGCAGGGAGGTGAGGGTGAAGGTTCCTGGGCATGGATAGAAATGCAGGGTGAGTGTGTGTGTGTGTGTGTGTGTGTGTGTGTGTGTGACACCACATCTGTGGGTCTGTACAGGGCTGTGTCTAGGGGCACGCTGTGCCCACGTGTGTGAGCTCATGAAAGTCCTGCTGAGGCTCCTACCCCCTCCCCTCTCCCCCATCCCTGCTCTGGGAGTTTCTGGCTGTGCCCCTGGATGGGGATGGTCCCAGCCCACTCCTCCCCACGCTGCTCTCAGCTGCCCTTCCCTCAGTCCCAGGAAGCTCATCCATCATCCAGCGTCTCTTACCCACGAGGAAGAACTCCCTCCACAGGCTCCCTCTGGGTCTGGAAAGGTCCATGAGTTGCCTGGGGTCCTCCAGGACGAGGAGGGGTCCCTCCAGAGACGCAGCCGCCTCCTCTGCTCCCTCACAGACCTGTTTCCTGGCACAGAGGTTGCCAATCTCCCGGCCCTCGGATCCGCCTTTCCTCCCCAGGGTGGACTCTGACCAGCAGGGGTGGGGCCTGGGGAGGACCTTATCTTTATGGCCTATGGTGCCTTGAGTTCATTATTTGTTTACTTATTTTTTTATTGCATTTTAGGTTTTGGGGTACATGTGAAGAACATGCAAGATTGTTGCATGGGTACACATGTGGCAGTGTGATTTGCTACCTTCCTCCCCTTCACCTATATCTGGCATTTCTCCCCCTGCTCTCTCTCCCCAACTCCCCACCCCTTGCTATCCCTTCCCTATTTCCCCCAAACAGACCCCAGTGTATAGTGCTCCCCTCCCCGTGTCCATGTGTTCTCATTGTTCAACACCTGCCTATGAGTGAGAACATTTGGTGTTTGATTTTCTGCTCTTGTGTCAGTTTGCTGAGAATGATGGTTTCCAGGTTCATCCATGTCCCTACAAAGGACACGAACTCATCGTTTTTGATGGCTGCATAATATTCCATGGTGTATATGTACCATATTTTCCCTGTCCAGTCTATCATCGATGGGCATTTGGGTTGGTTCCAGGTCTTTGCTATTGTAAACAGTGCTGCAATGAACATTCGTGTGCACGTGTCCTTATAGTAGAACGATTTATAATCCTTTGGATATATACCCAGTAATGGGATTGCTGGGTCAAATGGGATTTCTATTTTTAGGTCATTGAGGAATTGCCACACTGCCTTCCACAATGGTTGAACTAATTTACACTCCCACCAACAGTGTAAGAGTGTTCCTATTTCTCCACATCCTCTCCAGCATCTGTTGTCTCCAGATTTTTTAATGATCGCCATTCTAACAGGCGTGAGATGGTATCTCAATGTAGTTTTGATTTGCATTTCTCTAATGACCAGTGATGAGCATTATCTCATGTTTGTTGGCCTCATGTATGTCTTCTTTTGTAAAGTGTCTGTTCATACCCTTTGCCCACTTTTGAATGGGCTTGTTTGTTTTTTTTCTTGTAGATCTGTTTTAGTTCTTTGTAAATTCTGGATATCAGCCCCTTGTCAGATGGGTAGACAAAAATTGTTTCCCATTCTGTCGGTTGCCAATTCACTCTAATCACCGTTTCTTTTGCTGTGCAGAAGCTGTGGAGTTTGATTAGGTCCCATTTGTCTATTTTGGCTTTTGTTCCCAATGCTTTTGGTGTTTTGGTCATGAAGTCCTTGCCTACACCTATGTCCTAAATGGTTTTGCCTAGATTTTCTTCTAGGGTTTTTACGGTGTTAGGTCTTATGTTAAGTCTTTAATCCATCTGGAGTTAATTTTAGTGTAAGGTATCAGGAAGGGGTCCAGTTTCTGCTTTCTGCTCATGGCTAGCCAGTTTTCCCAACACCGTTTATTAAACAGGGAATCCTTTCCCCATTGCTTGTTTTTTTCAGGTTTGTCAAAGATTGGATGGTTGTAGATATGTTGTGTTGCCTCCGAGGCCTCTGTTCTGTTCCATTGGTCTCTATCTCTGTTTTGGTACCAGTACCATGCTGTTTTGATTCCTGTAGCCTTGTAGTATAGTTTGAAGTCCGGTAGTGTGATGCCTCCTGCTTTGTTCTTTTTGCTTAGGATTGACTTGGCTATGCGGGCTCTCTTTTGGTTCTATATGAAGTTTAAGGTGGGTTTTTCCAGTTCTGTGAAGAGGGTCATTGGTAGCTTGATGGGAATAGCATTGAATCTGTAAATTACTTTGGGCAGTATGGCCATTTTCACGATATTGATTCTTCCTAACCATGAACATGGAATGTTTCTCCATCTGTTTGTATCCTCTCTTACTTCTTTGAGCAGTGGCTTGTAGTTCTCCTTGAAGAGGTCCTTTACGTTCCTTGTTAGTTGTATTCCTAGGTATTTTAGTCTCTTTGTAGCAATTGTGAATGGCAGTTCGTTCTTGATTTGGCTCTCTTTAAGTCTGTTATTGATGTATAGGAATGCTTGTGATTTTTGCACATTGATTTTGTATAGTGAGACTTTGCTGAAGTTGCTTATCAGTTTCAGGAGATTTTGGGCTGAGACTGATGGGGTCTTCTAGATATACAATCATGTCTTCTGCAAATAGAGACAATTTGACTTCCTCCTTTCCTATTTGAATACGCTTTATTTCTTCTTCTTGCCTGATTGCTCTGGCTAGAACTTCCAATACTATATTGAATAGGAGTGGTGAGAGAGGGCATCCTTGTCTAGTGCCAGATTTCAAAGGGAATGCTTCTAGTTTTTGTCCATTCAGTATGATATTGGCTGTTTGTTTGTCGTAAATAGCTTTTATTATTTTGAAATACTGTTCCGTCAATACCTAGTTTATTGAGGTTTTTAGCATAAAGGGCTGTTGAATATTGTCAAAGGCCTTCTCTGCATCAATTGAGATAATCATGTGGTTTTTGTCTTTGGTTCTGTTTATGTGGTGAATTACGTATATAGACTTGCGTATATTGAACCAGCCTTGCATCCCTGGGATGAAGCCTACTTGATCATGCTGGATAAGCTTTTTGATGTGCTTTTGCAATCGGCTTGCCAGTATTTTATTGAAGATTTTTGCATCTATATTCATCATGGATATTAGCCTGAAGTTTTCTTTTCTTGTTGAGTCTCTGTCGGGTTTTGGTATCAGGATGATGTTTGTCTCATAAAATGATTTGGGAAGGATTCCCTCTTTTTGGATTATTTGGAATAGTTTCAGAAGGAATGGTACCAGCTCCTCTTTGTATGTCTGGTAGAATTCGGCTGTGAACCCATCTGGACCTGGGCTTTTTTTGGGTGGAAGGCTCTTAATTGCTGCCTCAACTTCAGACCTTGTTATGTTTTCTATGTGTCTTTTCAGTTTGGGTATGTCATAGCTGGCATACGCATGCACATACGAATCGCTTTTATTGTAGCAGAATATATCATTAAATTTTTGTTTTTCTCAGGGCTTTTCAAATGTTAAACCCAAGTTCAGTCAGAGTAAGGTGAATATGCACCTCTGGGTGTCTACTGGTTTATAAAATATCTCTGAAGTTTCTTTTGTACCCTGAAAACCCATATGAATATTTGCAGCCTACAGCCAAACATACATATTAGTTTTAATAGGAAAATAATGCACTCATTACCACTGATGTTAGTTAATTGACCTGCCTCAGTATTCAAGTATAAACGGTGCCTCTGAAATATATACAAAGTGAGTCTCTGGCTTTAGCTCCTCTGAAACATTCCCCACATTCTGCCTCAAGGTCCTGGACTCCTGTGGGAGAAGCACAGCTTTGCACCATCACTGTTAATTATTCATGACTGCATAGTATTCCACTGGATTGGATATGGGTTGAGTTATTCAACCAGTCCTCTGTATGCAATCATTTAGGTTCTTTCAATTTTTTTTTTTTTTTTTTTTGAGACAGAGTCTCACTCTGTCCTCCAGGCTGGAGGGCAGTGGTGTGATCTAGGCTCACTGTAACCTCCGCCCCCTGAGTTCAAGTGATTCTCATGCCTCAGCCTCCAGAGTAGCAGGGATTACAAGTGTGTGCCACCACATTGGGCTAATTTTTTTATTTTTATTTTTAGTAGAGACGGGGGATTTTGCCATGTTGACCAGGCTGGTCTTCAACTCCTGAGCTCAAGCGATCCATTTGCTTCGGCATCCCAGAGTGTTGGGATTACAGGCATGAGCCACTGGGCCAGGCCAGGTTCTTTCAATTAAAAATACAATTATTAGCCAAGTACGGTGGCTCAAGCCTGTAATCCCAGCACTTTGGGAGGCTGAGGCAGGCAGATCATGAGGTCAAGAGATCGAGACCATCCTGGCCAACATAGTGAAACCCTGTCTCTACGAAAAATACAAAAATCAGCTGGGCATAGTGGTGTGTGCCTGTAGTCCCAGCTATTTGGGTGGCTGAAGCAGGAGAATCTCCTGAACCTGGGAGGTGGATGTTGCAGTGAGTCGAGATCACGCCACTGCACTCCAGCCTGGTGACAGAGTGAGGCTCTGTCTAAACCAAACAAACAAACAAAAACAAAAAACAAAACCAAAAACAAAACAATATTTTAGAGCAGTTTTAGGCTTACACCAAAATTGAGCAGAAGGAACAGAGGTTTTTCATAAATCACCTGCCCTCCCACGTGCACAGCCACCTCCGTTATCAACATCCCCACTTCCAGAGTGGTACATTCATTGCATTTGATGAGCCCACATTGATACAATATTAGCACCCAAGGCCCAGAGTTTAAATGAGTGTTCACTTTTTAAAAACACAACAGCATGAACAGCTTTTGCCTAGTCCCATTTGTAGATCCGTAATGGATCCTAGAGGTGAACCTGCATAGAAGGGAACTGAACCCTAAAATAGAGGTCTGGCCCTTACTCTCAGCTACTGGGAGGGAACTCTAAGCCCCTGAATGTCTCACCTGATAGGAGTGTCTTTCTTTTTTTTTTTTTTTTTTTTTTTGAGACAGAGTTTCGCTCTTGTTACCCAGGCTGGAGTGCAATGGCGCGATCTCGGCTCACCGCAACCTCCGCCTCCTGGGCTCAGGCAATTCTCCTGCCTCAGCCTCCTGAGTAGCTGGGATTACAGGCACGCACCACCATGCCCAGCTAATTTTTTGTATTTTTAGTAGAGACGGGGTTTCACCATGTTGACCAGGATGGTCTTGATCTCTTGACCTCGTGATCCACCCGCCTCGGCCTCCCAAAGTGCTGGGATTACAGGTTTGAGCCACCGCGCCCGGCCAGGAGTGTCTTTCTTACCTGAGAACCTTGGACCTCATCAAATAGTCTAATATGGCTGATGGTAGGGGGTTTGGGTCATTGCTATCAGCTCTATCTCTAGAGCAGCTGAAGCTAACGTCAGCCATATGAACAGCCATCCCTGTCTACATGGCAAAGTCACAATAAAAACCCTGGACATAAAGGCTTAGGTGAGTGTCCCTGGCTGGCGATGCTCTATGCATGTTGCCACATGTCATGTCAAGAGGAGTTACTGCTGTCTGCGATTCTACTGGGAGGGGATAATTGGAAACTCCCCAT